TTTTCATTGTTTTTTTTTTAGGGAAATGTCCTGGAGACTCGAACGTTGTCCACTTTTCATTCGATGTGGGTCTCTCGAACATAATTAATGGTCTTCGATCAATTCTCAAAAATTGCCCTTGGGCATATTTCGGCATGGTTAGTTTAACTCGGTCCACCCTATGCTGGCCTACCATTTAACAAACTGGTCCAGAGCTTTTCATTGTTTTTTTTAGTGGAAATGTCCATGTATACATCATTCTTGATACGATTAACGGGAATGGGGTGTACATCGGGCTTCTAAAAGTGCATCGTCTTTCGTCGGCTCAACTTTCAGGTTGAAATGTGCGGATTTCAGAGTGCCATGTATATGTGCGTTTCTACCGGCTGCACGTTTCAATGTTCGGCTTCACTGTCACTCAATCTCTAATAGCCGTACGAGCGGATTGGTCTATTGGGTCAAACATAGGTTTAGTACAGCCACACCTGCGCATGTCTCCTGCTGTTTTGAAATCCCTTCCCTTCCGTCAAAACAGCGTACAGGTTGGTTGGCATCCAAATCTAAGTGTACGATCAGTTCACCTGACAACAGGAAGTGGGAGTGCGTTGAATGTGGCACTTATTCGCACCGTTTTAATCAATAGAGTACGATAAGCAGCGTCTTCTAGTGGGCTATTAGATACACAATTGGTAACGTTGTCAACTTAGCAGCTGGCGAGTGCCAGGAAACATTTTTTTCCAATGCACTTGTTCCTTTTTACTCCTGATTTTGTCGGTATTTTTTATATGGCATGGCAATGGAATTTTTATCGACTTCGTGAGGTGCACATGTCATCATGCTCTTCAAGAGGGATGATATCAACTTCTGGGAAGTGCGTACTTTAAGGGATTCTATTGGAATCAATAGGATGATGAAGCTCAGGTTATACATCATTTGCAAAGAGCTGCATTGATTAGTTATTTCATTTCTTATCCTCTTGTGACAGTGATGCCATTTAGCTGCTCACTTCTTTTAGAACCACACACTTGTCGCGCTATCCGTTGAGTGTTCTGTTTGCTCAAACAAGTTTTCGTTGACGACATTTTGAAACAGCCTGCACAAAAATGTTAAAGTACCGAGAGACCGTGCAGTAGGACTGAGATGCCCTTCCCTGGATGCTTTGTTCTTCCAGGAGCGTCGGCTTGGTCATCCTGCTACCATCCGTGTTTACACACTGCTTGAAGTACTTCGAATATCATCGTTTCGGAACATACGGGTTACGGTTTGCTATGGGCACACAATAGGCGACACGTTTCGTTTTTATACGGACACTGTTTAGAGCTAACCCAGATTAACCTGTCAATAGTCGCTTCGCATTTAGATCACTTCACACAAGACGTTGACTGGCATTGTGCCACCACTTGCGGACTGCCAGATGAAAAGGCTGCTGTTACTAAGTCCGAAAGCTATAACTAAATCAGACATGACGGTTTGGACATTTTGACTAATTGACAGTGCCTTTCGGACTGATTAGGGTGGAAACAGCCGTATGACTGCTGTCAACTGCGTGTCTTCCATGCATAGCAAATTTGGCCGCTGAGCTGGTCATCTTTAACCATATGGTCTAACAATGCTTAGACGAAGTTTGTCATGTCAGAAATGACAAACATGTTTCGCAGCATTGTGTAATCCGTCCGCTTTTCTTTAGCTGTCAGTTCTTTTGTTTTACGATTCCACCAAATTTACCAGTGTCGAATCCAGATCACACGCAGCATTTATTCTTCAATGTCTGTATTCTCAGTACAGCCGAGATGTGAGCGATAAAAACCACACTTACTTTAGATGGGTTATCTGCCACTGTCCTATACCTATGTGCCCCGAGATCAGTCAAGTGTGGTCAGTGTGGAAAAAAACGATTGACAGAGAATTTGAACCCGGATTTGGTTAGCCGCTCGACTATCCTTCTCTCTCTGACTTCGCTCCCCGAGTGCCACACACGATGTTGTCGGCTGTGCATCTGGTTGTTTCATGTCCTAGTGGTTAGACTTTTTTTTTTGAATAGTGATTTTCTAAGTTAATCCATCATATCCCTACGTGTGATTTCTCCAGTTTGGCCTCCTGTCATTTTGCACCACATTTTCTTGTTCTTTTCTTTCATGCTTCTAAATCAACATTTTACAGGGATATGTTGTACTGTTCTTTCTCGCTTTCAACTGTCGACCATTTGTTACTCTTGTTTGCAGAAGGTATTCATTTAACAAACTGCCTTGGCGTACATTGGTTTCCCATGTTTTTCTCCATAGTTTAGCTGCTTCTTAAGTAGGTTGCTGGCTTATGGGGCTGACTGGCAACTGGGTTCTGCTGGCAAACTTACGGAAGATGTGGTATTTACCAAGCCTTGCTGCTAATTCAGCTGGAAGTTGATCAAAAGTGTGATAACCCTGCAAAAAGCCCAGGCTCTTCTCTTTTCATCCTCATCACTGGGACTAACCAGACTGGCACAGAGATGTCGGCTTATGGCTGGTTGCTTATCGGGTTCACACCGCTTACCTAGGGCCCAGGAGACCGTGGGCCCCATGTATCATCTATAGGTATTTATGCGTTTCATCAACGGTTTCACATCATGTACTGCATTTCATGTCAGTTTTGAATGCTTCAACTGATCCGAATCATTCCCCTGCTTAATTTGCACAGTCTTACTCCAGCCAATTAACTACAGAGTGAGGTTTGTAAGTGAAGCCACATTCACCCTGGGTTACCTGTGTAGACGTTGGTCACATCCCTATCCTGGTAGATTTTCAAAGTCGAATACTACTTTCAACGGTCGTTTTGTTTTATGTGATCCTTCCATCCTATCGATTCGAGACACTGTCTGACTGTCTCCTCGGGTTAGCCTCCATAACCTTGTACGCGTCCACAAGAGATGCTTGCTAAGTTGACCAGATCCATCAATAATCTTGTATCAACTTTCCTATCCAACTTCATTATTGAACTGCCACTTGATTCTCCTTTGCCTGACTCTGATAGCACATTGGTGAAACTGCTCATGGGGTTCCCCCCTCCGCGGACGTTGCTGATGTTACATTTCCTGCATCAGATCCCTCAGAAATACGGATCATTTTAAATAAGCTAAATAATTGGACCGCTTGTTTCGGGCATACATACGAGGTGTACAGTGCTTAGTGGGTTCAGTACGTCACTCGCATAGGCCAGTCGATGATAACAGGAAGAAAATTCGCCTACTTGAAGAGTTGTATTAATTACGGTGGGCGAGAACTCCTAGGTGCCTTATTAATCTCAATAAGGACGAGACTTGTAGTGAGCTCATAAGTGATGTATTCTGCCGGGTACGATATCTCGTAAGTCGTACCCACTGAAATATGAGAGGGCCTCTGTCTAGCACATTCACTTGAAGAAAATCGTGAACGAAAGATTCAGCTGGAATTCAGATGAGTCTCCCGGTAACACTGGAGTAGTTGGCAAATGAGGATATTTTGTCAGTCACTTACAGTTTGGTGTTCAAGTATGACGTAAGACTGACGAAAATTCGGGGACTACGCCTACTCGATTAGCTTTAAGGTGGATGAAACCGTTGGCGGGCTTTTGAAAACTTTTCAGCAACCTTATATGCTGTGTCCCATAAAAAACGATGTAATAAATTTCTGTCACGCACCGTAAGGTTGTTATCCATATTATCCAATGTTTTACGGCGCCCTACAGAAGTAATCAGTGGCATATTGTGTATAGTCGGTGACGTGTTAATTTGTTCTGATGTGATGACGTAGCTATCAACTATTGTGGTAAGAGAGCTCTTCCGTGAGTTATTGGAATCACGGCTGGTTTGAATAATGATCATGCCACCAGATGCAACGCACAAGGTGCAGCGCCGCCGAACGCTTTAGCGTGGATGTTTTCCAGTTTGTTTCTATCATCTTACAGGTGTCACAGTTCGTCGATTTAGCTGCAGCTTGGTAAAGTTATGCCGTGCATCATACAACAGGTGCTTTATTCCTAGTTTGCACAAGAAGCTTACCCTGTAGGTTGCTTGCGTCCTGCGCCCGTCGATCGCATGATACAGGCCAGAGTACGTTAACACATTACCAACTCGACTTCAGATACGGCAAAAAATCACGGAGTAAACAAGTTTGCAATTATGTACTCCCATCAGGCATGTGGGATTACAGCAAACAACCCGGATAAAATTCACTATGGACACACTCACACAGCTCAGTGTTCCCATCACGGACTACACGCACAGCGAGGTGATGTGGCGATAGGTGCACGAAATTAATTGCTTTTTGTGGTGGATTCAATGTCAGATTTGTGTGTGAGATCATGGAAAGGAGAGGGTTGACGAGAGAATGGGTTTCTCGTCTACAGGTGACTCAGAGCTAGTGAAGTTGGCGTGACGATGGGGAGAAACGGGGCTTGTTTACGGACGTGAATTGTTTACATTTTCAATACTCTGATTCGTGTTTGATAACGCAAGCAGTCACTCGTCTATGTTTAGTTTAGTTTAGGTTGTTTTTTTTGGTGAAAATAATGCCACACTTCACACCTACCCAACATTGTTTATAAATATATGAACGCGATGGTATCCACTCACACAGCGTATATACTCCAATGATGGTAGATACTCAGCTGTGCTTTGTATACTGTGTCCTTGCGTCTTTCCTGCTCTGGATTTATAGATCTTCCATATCACCATGGTGTCCAGTTTTTTTTAAGTTGCGAATTCTGTCAAATGATTGCGCTTTAATTCTAATTAACTATCGTGGTTCTGCTTCTGATATTGAAACGGACACTTCATTCCTCAAGCTTATATATGATCCTTGCTTTGGAGGCACCTAGGTAAAGTTGGTGACATTTTGAAAACGTTGTTTTCAAAGTACACAAAGCTGCTAGACATGGAAGAGGCTGAGGGCTCGTTTGAAGCATTGACTGACACTTCAGGGTGTGGCCTTTTGTTAACGATGCCATAACGTTTTATTTGTTTGCCGTGGTTTGCTCACTGTCTCTTTCCCTACCTGCTCTCTTACTAGGATGTGAATGATGTGGCGCCTCGATTCTCGGACCCCAGTTACACCCTATTTGTGTCCGAACGTGAGCCGGTCGGCTTCTTTGTGCTCCAGCTACGCGCTACCGATCCGGATTCGGGCTATGGTGGACAGGTATGTTGAGGTGTCGAAGATTGTGCCTGTTACGAGTGTCTGTACGCATCAGTGATATTACGTTATGCAAAATCTGAACACTTATTTCCTACGTTTTCCAACATGGAAGGTTTGCACCACTGCTAAGTCCGTCGTTGTCGTGAGGCCTCTTATACAGACATATACAAGCCCCTTATACACTCATACTTGGATATGATTCATGCATCCTAAAACATGGGACTTTCTACAACTAGCCACTCCAGGGTATTCGAATTCGGCTTTTATTAATTGCACGCTAACTTGGAACAGGATAGCTGGGCGTACATTTTTATTCTGTAACTACATTTCACGTTGCGTACGTCAGATTTCAACAATCCCTACGGGTTAATTTTTGTCTGTCTGAAAGCTACATGGAATGCCTCCCATTTGGATAAAAGAGCCATTCACTTCCAGTCCAGATAAACAGATCTGGATGCAGCCAGCACATGGCAAGCTTAGCAAGAACGTCAGCATCCAAAGCCCATTGGGCGCATCAAGAATTCAGAGAGGAAGACCAAGTCGCAACACATATGCCAACGTATTGCGTTTGTCAATAATGAGGATAAATGCACCTTCATCCCGAAGAAGGGATACCGGTGGATAAGGATAAGAGAGAGAGAGAGTGCTTTCAATGGTGTTCGAAAGCATAGTCACGAACCGAAATGGGAGAGATGCCATCCAAACCAGGTGGTTTGAATGTGCTGAGTTCTGATAGGAAATGGCGAACATTCCTCTTGGTGATGAATGCATTTATCTTTGGCTTTATCGATCATCGATGACCATCTTTTACCTGCAGCATGCATAGATAAACCAGTGGGGAATGACTGCTTCCCTGATTTAAAAAGAATGGGGGATGATTTGGCTCGTACCGTCATACAGGGAGTTATTGGTTTTCTCGAAAAAATGAGGGATCCCAGGAAAAAGACCCTTTCAAGACTAATTCCATATCATCATAGTCAGGGGAAGGGTTGTGTGTGTGTGAGAGAGAGAGAGAAAGCGAACGGGAAAAAAAGAACTCGGCCACACAACCTGTAGGATCTGTGTGGAACGAAACCTGCGGAAGTCGAATTCGCCGGGAATGTGAACTTCCACATATGGGGCTGGAATGAAGTAGTCGCTCACAAGCTCTACTCAATAAAGAGAAACGCGGGGAAGCGTCATCCCCATTCATGGATCGATGAATGCAGTAAAAATATTGGTCGCATCGGGATAGTAGTTGAATGTACTTGGCACAACAGTTCAGGACATGTGGATGAGAAGCAGATGAGGAAAAATATGTTCAGCGGTACTCTTAAAGCCGAAGTAGAAACCTCATAGTTTGTTGATCATAGATAGTGGAGATCATCACTTTCAAACGTTTGGATCTCAGGGAGGAACAAAACAGCGAGAGGCGTTGGACCAATCTAATTTTGTATTTTAATCCATGGTTTTTACCTATTGGGCCTTAGATATCACGTGAAAAAGCGGAACTAGATATCCTTATAGTCTGCATCTCCATGTTTGTTTGGTGAGTGAAATAACGACCGTTTTGAGTAGCTCCCGTAAGTTTATTTCTTACTTGTCTGTTGTGCCAGGAGTTATCAATACTATTTTGACTTTGCTATTCTTCCAGCGTTTACAGAATCAGTTTAGCGACATTTCCTCTTTGTGTCAGATTTACTGATACCGAACGCATTGTTCCTCAAGCTGTTATGTCTTCTTAAAGATCTCCGCGTATGGGCCTTCGTTCCTGGGCAATTTGTGATTTAGTTTGACCGAATAACTTTGGCGTGAATCGGTAATTTTGCGTTAACATTCACTCATTTCATGGCTCGTTTTGCAAGTTACTAGTATATCAAGCAAAATGATATCGTGTTTTCCAAATTTCTCTTTACTGAAGTAAGATTTTTATTCAGGTTTGGAGCCAAGAAATATCCACTTTACTCCCCGAAATTGACTGGTTTTCCTGTATTTTACAGTTTTATCTCGGTACACATTTTCTCTTTCTTCCCCTTCCGAATCCATATTTGATTGTCCAGCTGACCGTACAGCTATTCGCATGATGTACCCTTCAGTCGTGATATTCATGAATGCTTGGCGTTCCCAACCATTTCTATCCGAACTTCTGAATACGCCTTGGTGGTATACGTTAATAAACTGATCCATCTTCCTCCTCCAATCTGGGGCTTTTTCCGTTGCATTATCCCCATGCTTTGTGCCTTTTTTATACCGATCGGTATCATGGCTTTCATTCGTTACATCGCATCTAAAAATTTCCAACAGATCACCTACAGTTTGGAGTCCCATCATTCTGGGGGCACCTCTCCCACACAGCTCACCAGGCATATATCGGATACATCACGGGAGTCCCTTTCCTACTTCGAGTGTGATGAGCATACTGGACAAATAACGCTGGCAAGAAGTTTAAATTATCAAAAATCTGCGGTCCATCAATTTTGGGCCGTTGCTACAGATCAAGGGGCCATACCTTTGAGCTCTCGTATCCCGATTACGGTAAGTCGACTAGCTCATGCTTATACCTTCGCGATATTCTCAAAGCTTTCTTTTTGTTTGCATTTGGGTAGAGCTCGCTCTTTCGCCTGATACATTATTCAGGCTTGTTATAATGGTCACGTTGCTTACCCGACCAGAACTCCTTTTTAATACTTAGGGCGTCCTCGATTCTGTTCTATGCTGCATTGTCCAACCATTATACTGTCAGATCTCAGTCCTTCGCTTCCACAACCACTGCAGGACCCGTCCAGGAGACTGCACCTTAGCCTGGTACGACAATTTATGCGTTTGCTTGGTATATAATGCTGTGGCATAATGGGGGTATATCTCCGCCACCATCCCAGTAGCTGACCAACGGCAAATGTTTTAATGAAGTGATGTTCTGGCTCACCGGATTTGAGTTGGAAAGTGCTTGATGACCTTGGTTCACTTGTAGTTTTTCAAACCAGATTTAATCACAATACAAATTAGCTTTCACCGCTTGGACGCAAACGAACAGCCGGTGTAGATGTTGCACCTTGGTGGAATCACAGTGCAACGATGTGTGAAAAGAGGCCTCTTGATCTGGGAACAATTCAGTTCCTTTCCTATCATTCGTCCATTCGAGCCTATATTCATGCGTTTCGCATTTTTTAATGGAAAGGTATTGGTTTCCCGCAGTAATTTCCTCACTTATTTTCAACTGTTTATCTGTAATCCGGTGTCTGACGTTCCGAACCTCTCAGGTTACTTTTGACTTGACAGGTTGCGTCTATTTCAACGGGTTGTCGGAAGTGGCATGGCGCGTTTCATTTTGTTAATTAATCTGACATTCACCCTTGGTCCTGTGTAGAATTTCCCCGAAATCCACACCCCTTTATCGCACAATCAAATCGGGATGTGCCGATTGAACTACAATATTAACTGTGATTTCAACAACACACGCCAAGCGCCTTTCATATGACCAGTGAAATTCTGCCCCGCATGATTGTACTCGAGTATGATTCACCAAGGCCCGTCATCGCTCCCGTCACGACCGCACACCAAGGCTGGAATCAGTGTTGCCTGTTTCCCTGCCTTGTTGGAATTGCGCTAGTGTTGTGTTGTTGTTTTATTTGTCAGTCAGTGGTGGTTTGTATTTGACGTGCGGACGGCGAATTGCTGAACATCATACAGCGCAGTCGGCACCTGAACTCACTATGTTGTTGGCTTCCGTTCTTCACTGATAAGCTGCAACTTCCTAGATTAATCAGGTTTATTCCGCTTGTATCGCTGTGCACAGGTAATTTGTCCCTGCGCATATGGCTAACGTATGCTTTTACGCTTCAGTTATTGGAGTCGGTATCGAATGTATGCTAGTTTACTTTGGTCTATGGCTGGTCGAAAATGTTACAAAGTTTGAAGCCGTTTGTGTTTTGTAATTTGTTGATCTTTTTGGGAACCCGTTTGCAAGATGCACTCAACCACGCGTGAAAGATGCACGCTTTGATGTTTTTCCTCTAATTTTTCTATCATTGGTGGTTTTTTCCTTCAGGGTTCATTGCTGGAAGACAATGTTAACTTTTATGCAAGGTGTAAAACAGCAGTCCCGATTGATTATTCTGAACTAGACGCCAGTGGCGAGCAGCATTTTGGGGGAATTCCATATTCCGAAACCACTGTCACCCCGTTCCTTATTCGTCTCAAGACTTTCTTTCCCATCTAAACCATTATATCCAAAACTTCACATCTCTCCTGCGGATACATGCCGCTAACGCCAATCTTTTTTGGACCTTTTCTACACCACACACTACTTGGTTTTTAATTCACATTCACCGGGAATGTAATAGCAGGTATAACCACGTAAGCCTCAGTGATTTTGTGTACATGTCCATTGTTGGTGCCCGCACAAATATATGTTGAAAGAATGCCCGGAAGGCCTGTACGGCTGTTTCATCCTTGTCAGAAATCACCATTACTACGCATCCTGCGAATTTCTAGGATGATTTCAACCCACACCCTGCCGGTTAGTTGTTGAATATCATTCCATTCGGCTAAGAGTGGCTGATCATCAGTGTGGTTACCACTGGCCCTTCAACCGAGCAGTTTGCGTAAGGTAATCGGGTTGCGAAGCTTTTAGAGTCGTCTGTTTATAACGGCTTCTAAACAGCTGTAAATCGCATCTAGGCTTTTCAGAATGGACAGTTCGGCAGGACCACTTTCTTCAACCCGTAGATATGTCAACAGCGATTAGTTCAACCGAGTATGCAATTTTTATATCAGGTCATCTTAATTCATACCTGTGTTCCCATTTTGTTATTCGGCTGGTCGAAATTCGCTCCAATCATATAATAATGAAAAATCGGCGTAAGCCTGCCAGGCCCATTCAGCTAGCCGGGCGATATGCTAGAAGCCGCGCAGTTCTGTCCGTCTTACTAAAGAGTGTGAACACTGACACCAGACTCCACATGCTTGGAACATCCTCGTCAACGCGATTGCATCTCTTTTTGCTCCCTTCTAATCCAGATACATGTGCTAGACTACAATGACAACGCGCCCCAATTCGATCAGTCGAATTATCAGCCCAATGTTGATGATGATGGTGAGCGATGCTCCTATCGGGTAAAACTGAACGAACGTGCTCCACCGGGAACATTCGTCACTCGCCTGCTAGCCACAGATCTGGACTCAAACGATACTCTTCGGTACCGATTGGTGGCCGATGAGACAAGACACTCGGAGTATTTCCGACTTGGGCATAATGACGGCATCCTGTACTGGGCTCCATTTCGAAAGCAAGACGGTAGAATCTCCTTTCCACATTTGCGTTCGAAAGCTGAACTCGGAAACACTCCCTCTGAGATAGTCGACATCCCACTGGATGCATTTCGGCTGAAGGTAACTTTATGGACGAATCTTTACCCATTTGGAATATCGAACTGTCGCATTTTTCATGGTTCTTCGCACTGGTTCTCCTAAGTTACTTCCCCTTTACAAACCTGCGCATTTGAGGTGTAACCTGTTTTCACGGTAATGTTCGCTAACTGATCCGACTTTGTCCAGTCGAGTAGGTTTAGTAAAGAGGATTCTAAGATTCTGTCAGTCATATCTGTCTCTTTGTGCTACTAGTAGCTGAAACTCACTCTGAGACGGAAGCAGCTTTTGCGGACACCCTTCATTTATGTTTCCCAGTCGGACTGTATTCCACCATTTCTATTTAGGGTAGTAAAAATTAGATATTTTTGAGCGTTGAACTAATTTGAATTAGCGAACGTCACGACTAGAGCGAGTGCCTTGAATTACCAAAACTTGCACAAAACTTTCCTCATAGGGAAGATTATCTGGATCAAGGTGCCTACCAAGCAGGCGCGTTCTGTGTGTGGGGTTCGGCCTCAAACCGCGAACATGGGCATATCTTTTTGAGTAATCGAATGACGTCCTTTTAACCGTGGCTATCAACCTGGCTTCTTTTTCCTTGTTTTTCTGTACTTATTATTCCACTGCTGAAGATAGCCTCCCGTGGTGTCCAAAGCATCATTTAGTAAATATCGATAGATTTATGAGGTGTTGTTTCGTCACAGTCCAACTAGGCTAAATGTTCCACCTCATTCCTACCTGTCTGAGTAGTCCGTCGGATCAGAATGTCACTAACGTGGTTTACTCAGTACCACTACACATTTCAATTCGCAAAGCGCAGCCCACACTGACATGCGAAATTCAACTGGGAAGAAGTGTCCGGATACTCGCCGATGAGAAGATTTATAGCCATATGCAAGGCGAATCAGACGAACTCCTACTAGGTGTGTGTCAGGGTTCAACAGCTCTCAGGTTGGCAGCATTCATTTCGACTCTCCGTACCGTGATTGTAGGTGATTCAGTATGGTGGACTTGTTTGGATAGTCTATTATCCCATAGTTGATGTTCGATCATCTCGTTTCGTCACAGTTCATTGGGAAGTCTGCTATGCAAATCTCAGATCCGCTGTGGTCGTTCTTTTTATCCGAGATTTTCCTGTTTTTTTTTTGTTTGAACGATAGAACACTTAGTTGCTAGTGCATTTTCGGTCTCGAAAAAAATTGCTTTGGAAACTGGTCTGCTATCCGAGCCGATGGTGATCCACAGTCCTAAAGTTTAACAGAATCTTCAAGGGGCCCGGAAAAAGTAGTTTGTTCTGAGGGTTGATCTCTTCCCACGGGAGGTTGTTGTACTACGAAGACACTCGGTTGGACATGTAGTCCCAGATGCATGTTGTTTACGCGCTAACGTTTACTTCACGCAATTCACTCAATTCGGCCTAAAAGAAGTTAAATTCCTCCAGTCACGGGTTTGAACGCAGATCATATAACTAACTTTTAGTGAACCAAGTTCAGTTCCCAACGGTTTTTTCTCCATTTCTTCTCTATGGTAAATCATCGTTTAACAAACCGCAATAGGTTTCCTGGCTCAGCGCCAACAATACCGTCCCAAAACTCATTGTATTGCATTGGAAACTTTGTCTTCTTCGTTCCTGACGGTTTGTGCATGTGCACATATTGTGCTGTTCGGTTCGACCCGTGTTCTTGAGCGTAGTTGGACGAGGTTCTGTGCGACCAGTACATCACTGTTGTAGCGCATACAGTGTAAACGGGGTGTTACATGATGTGGCTGTTTTCTGTCACCATTCCACGTTTTAGACAACAGTTGGGACAGCTTTCGGATGTATGTTCGTGTTTGTGGGTTTTCGCTATCGTGAGAGAGGACCAGACTTTTGTCCACACAGTGCTGCTTCTCATCAATCACGTTTGGCCGCATGTTGATTAGGATCACTGAGAATTTAGTTCGTGGTGTAGTTTTTTTAGCGGTTTTTTTGGTTATTTCCCGATATTGTTTCCACTGATCGCCTCGCCTCATTTCCTCTCTGTAATTAATAATGATATGATGATATGTGATTGTGACAGCCGCATTAGTTGCCGGTATTTTGGAAAATAGTGTATAAAGTCTATTCATTCAGTGCCTTATGAAGCCATTGATTTCTACTCCAGCACAAGGTGGAAAATTGTATTTTTGCATACAGTTGCCATAGTTGCAAAGTCACCGTTTGTCTAACCTACATATAGGCCCTGTTATTTTTCCCGATTGATTGTTAAAAATGTCGATTCTCTCTTGATTACTATCTGGAGCGTATATTTGAGGAGGCAGTTTCTACTGTTAGGTAGGTTTGAGCAGCGGGGAACACTTGTGTCAACGTGTTCATAAACTGCATGTCAGTCGGTAGGAGTTTCGATTGTCTTTCGTCCACACGTCCGTTGACAAGCCTTACGTACCCAGATTGGCTACCTTGGGATTGAGCCAGCCTTGCTGAGTCCAATTCGACGTTATTTCACAGGTCTCCTAGGTAGAGCACGGATTAGCTTACAACTCAGCAATGAAGCCGGACATGTTCTAATCCTCTGATTGTCTTCAAGTCCTCTACGAACCTTTCGCGAGGTGGGTTTTTAACGGGCGAGCACAGAATACTCTTATTTTCCTTAAGTTCAAAGTGTTTTTCAGGTTTGGTTGCCTTAGCCAAAGAATACGTCTCATAAAATGCATCCGTTTCATGTTGCCATTAGTGATTATTGTGGAATGTGGGCTTTTTGCCTTATTTAAATACAGAGATTTGCTTAGGTTATAACCATATTCCTTGTTTCTTACATATCGCGTGAGATTGAGTGAGACTAAACCATACGTGGAAGCCTTTGCGGCTTCCACTACCTATTCAGGGAAGAATTCTTAATTCGCGACTACTTGAAGTTACTTATTGTTTGCTTATGGTATCTTTCGTTTACATCCTCGGCTGTTCTACTCGTAAACGGCGCAACTTGTGGACATTTCAGCGTGATGTCACAAAGTCTGTTAGGAATGACGGGAACACGTATGTTAATGCGACACCATCTTACCGGACTGAATGAATTCTCTGTTAGCTTGTCAGCCGAACATGTTAGCTTGAACTAACTTCATTCGTCGAGCCTTCTAGGATGAGTGGATGATGTCCGGATAACGCTGTTTATGTTGCCTATCTATCATTGTCAAGGTTGAGGTGTCTGATCAACTCCACACGGCGTATTGTTTGGTACATGTCGAAATGGATGCTGTCAACTATGCTGCTCCCAGTTTTCCGCTGCCCAAACATGAAGTGTGGAATGTTTCGGAAGGCGCAACTCATTTGGGACGTATTCGACTCGCTACCGACCCAGATCGATCGAATTTCGGCAAAATTACGTATGCCCTCGTAGGTGGCCACGGACGAGAACATTTTCGCGTCGAGTCAACAACCGGTGGGTTTGCAATATAGAGAAAACGCATATTTCACCTACTGCACATTCGGATAGACACTAAACCGTTCAGTCGTTCCGATTGGGTTATTGAAGTAACGCTTGTGTAATATGGGTTTTTTGGGCGCAGTTGCTCTTGGAAATTCAGTTAAAGAACTTTCGTCCATAGTTGACGGGACATAATCGGTGCGCGGTCGAAGTACTACAATCGCCGTTTCAGACAGTATTATCGAAATTGCCAATGTTTATTCATATGTTATTCCTCGATTTTCTGTCCAGTTGAGTTAGATCACCGCCTGGTCTACTGTTGCGAACTTCGCTCATGAACTTTTACATGGGTCCAGCTACCAACCTCTAGAAGCCTCATTATCCCCTCAACGGCTCTGTCGTTAGGTAGTGTACTGATTGCCATGCACGCTACGTTTTCCACACTCTGTCCACGACTCTTTTTAGCTGCTTTAAGCAAAAGGGCAACTTATTGTGCTTACGTCATGGTGGATGTATGCGCTTCGAGGTTGAGCGGGCCTTAATGATGTCGGATTACGAGAGTTTAGGCGCGGGGACCTGACGCGAACTCGTCTAATCCATATAGATTCGACGTTGTCACTTGGAGTCGCCTCACATCCACTTTACGAACGCCCCACCTGGAGAGGATTTCCAGCCTTCCTCTTTGGGGCACGTTCCTTCCCTCGGCATCACTGTGGGTTTTCTAGTATGTCGCTCCTCTTCTAACTTGACGTTACAGGGATCTTATTACAACCGATTTAGACAGATCACTAGCATTTGCCTGTGGAACATCCCCTCACCTCTTCCTGTTGTCTTCCTACCTATCCTTTTTTCTGAATGCTCGATATACAGGCGACTTTTTCGCTTTGGAGATGTTGGATCGGGAAACTGTGAGCCACTATCGCTTACTAATTCGAGCCACGGATGGCGGAAAGCTGTTCGACTATATGACTCTTGATCTGAATATCCTGGATGTCAACGACAATCGTCCCCAGTTCACTCAATCCACTTACGAGGTGAGTACTGTTGCGTGTGTGGCTTTCCTTACCTTAGTTTATTATGAGCAGAAGGGATATGATTGGATCCAGAAAACCCTGGAAAACTGAAACGGTTCGTCACTCTCTGAATTCCTTTTTTGTGACTGTGAGTGTGAAGGCTACACCGCACACTGTTGGGACGCACTTAACGTCTTCTATAGCAAAGTGGTACTTTAACCAGTGCACCAAAATTGTGGCATTTCCCCATCTGCTGTGCGGCCTGAAAACTTGGGTCTCAAAGACGTTTCGTTTTCAAACACACCGGAATGTGTGGAATGTCTTGAATGGGTAGCTTTAGCCGTATTCCCTTATCAACCAAAGGTATTCTGGCGTCATATAGACGGCACTTTCATCGTGATGAAATTGGACAAGGTCAGTGGATTTTACAACAATCTGAATTACCTGGATCCACACGTCAAATTTAGTATGGAGATACAGTCAACTTCGGGCACAGTGGGTTTTTTAGTCTGCATGACACAAGGTCCGGGGTAAATGAAGACCACAGTATACGAGAGGCCAACGAACACAGGGGAAATTTTGAACTACTCGTCTGCCCATCCGAAATCATTGTTCGCTAGTATTGCCCCATCAATGTTTAGGCGCGTAAGAGCCCTGTGCACAGGGACATTGGAGGTCATTCGAAAGCTTCCAAAAACAGCTAACATAATAGTAGCGATCTGCACCGGTACAGTTGAAAATGAACAGTATCCGGGACTGTTACCAAATTAAGTGTAACGACTGACCTAAGGCCTATATAGGACAGACGGCCAGGGAACTTCACACCGGAATCGGGGAGTACAGTAGGAAAATAGACAGATCGCTCAGGAACGCAGGCGAATATGAAGCGTTATTGAGAGACTCGACAATGGCGGAACATGCACCGGAAACGGAATACAAAGTAGATTTAGAAAATGTTGAGGCTTTAAGGTGATGACTACGGCCCACGCCACAGAGACGGATGGCCAAGGCGTTGAAAATTTCCAAGCGTCCTCACTGTTAATAGAATCGAATTCGCGGAACTGGCAAGCCTGTGAAGAACGGTTTTGGATCAGTCGAGCTGACACGTGTTGGCGTGCGGTCATCAGAAGGAGGAGTAGTCATCATGTGAATTCCACTTGACCTCACCCCACAAAGACCAACGAAATCCACCAGTGGCACACGCGGCGAACCATAAGTTCCAGTTGAGTTAGATCACCGCCTGGTCTACTGTTGCGAACTTCGCTCATGAACTTTTACATGGGTCCAGCTACCAACCTCTAGAAGCCTCATTATCCCCTCAACGGCTCTGTCGTTAGGTAGTGTACTGATTGCCATGCACGCTACGTTTTCCACACTCTGTCCACGACTCTTTTTAGCTGCTTTAAGCAAAAGGGCAACTTATTGTGCTTACGTCATGGTGGATGTATGCGCTTCGAGGTTGAGCGGGCCTTAATGATGTCGGATTACGAGAGTTTAGGCGCGGGGACCTGACGCGAACTCGTCTAATCCATATAGATTCGACGTTGTCACTTGGAGTCGCCTCACATCCACTTTACGAACGCCCCACCTGGAGAGGATTTCCAGCCTTCCTCTTTGGGGCACGTTCCTTCCCTCGGCATCACTGTGGGTTTTCTAGTATGTCGCTCCTCTTCTAACTTGACGTTACAGGGATCTTATTACAACCGATTTAGACAGATCACTAGCATTTGCCTGTGGAACATCCCCTCACCTCTTCCTGTTGTCTTCCTACCTATCCTTTTTTCTGAATGCTCGATATACAGGCGACTTTTTCGCTTTGGAGATGTTGGATCGGGAAACTGTGAGCCACTATCGCTTACTAATTCGAGCCACGGATGGCGGAAAGCTGTTCGACTATATGACTCTTGATCTGAATATCCTGGATGTCAACGACAATCGTCCCCAGTTCACTCAATCCACTTACGAGGTGAGTACTGTTGCGTGTGTGGCTTTCCTTACCTTAGTTTATTATGAGCAGAAGGGATATGATTGGATCCAGAAAACCCTGGAAAACTGAAACGGTTCGTCACTCTCTGAATTCCTTTTTTGTGACTGTGAGTGTGAAGGCTACACCGCACACTGTTGGGACGCACTTAACGTCTTCTATAGCAAAGTGGTACTTTAACCAGTGCACCAAAATTGTGGCATTTCCCCATCTGCTGTGCGGCCTGAAAACTTGGGTCTCAAAGACGTTTCGTTTTCAAACACACCGGAATGTGTGGAATGTCTTGAATGGGTAGCTTTAGCCGTATTCCCTTATCAACCAAAGGTATTCTGGCGTCATATAGACGGCACTTTCATCGTGATGAAATTGGACAAGGTCAGTGGATTTTACAACAATCTGAATTACCTGGATCCACACGTCAAATCTAGTATGGAGATACAGTCAACTTCGGGCACAGTGGGTTTTTTAGTCTGCATGACACAAGGTCCGGGGTAAATGAAGACCACAGTATACGAGAGGCCAACGAACACAGGGGAAATTTTGAACTACTCGTCTGCCCATCCGAAATCATTGTTCGCTAGTATTGCCCCATCAATGTTTAGGCGCGTAAGAGCCCTGTGCACAGGGACATTGGAGGTCATTCGAAAGCTTCCAAAAACAGCTAACATAATAGTAGCGATCTGCACCGGTACAGTTGAAAATGAACAGTATCCGGGACTGTTACCAAATTAAGTGTAACGACTGACCTAAGGCCTATATAGGACAGACGGCCAGGGAACTTCACACCGGAATCGGGGAGTACAGTAGGAAAATAGACAGATCGCTCAGGAACGCAGGCGAATATGAAGCGTTATTGAGAGACTCGACAATGGCGGAACATGCACCGGAAACGGAATACAAAGTAGATTTAGAAAATGTTGAGGCTTTAAGGTGATGACTACGGCCCACGCCACAGAGACGGATGGCCAAGGCGTTGAAAATTTCCAAGCGTCCTCACTGTTAATAGAATCGAATTCGCGGAACTGGCAAGCCTGTGAAGAACGGTTTTGGATCAGTCGAGCTGACACGTGTTGGCGTGCGGTCATCAGAAGGAGGAGTAGTCATCATGTGAATTCCACTTGACCTCACCCCACAAAGACCAACGAAATCCACCAGTGGCACACGCGGCGAACCATAAGTTGAAGTGGAGGATTAAGGAACCAAACCTGGTCGGAACTAATTTGAAACCCCCAACCCATCAATGCAAGATTTTGTCAACTTGACTAACCTTTAATTGACAATCAACACTAGTCGGAAAGCGTCTTAGTGATTGGTTCTCCGTCTGCCTTAAAACCTGGCCAACTTGATCTCTCACTTGGTTTGATGAAGCTTTTGTATCTAAAGCGAAACGTTGCCCAAATAAAAAACTACTGGTTGTTTACCAAGTACTTCTGAAACACCGAAAGCCACCGAAACCAAGACTCTCGACAGTTATTTTCAGTCGTTCCGACGACATGAGGCTACGTGATCACACAGATCAGATGGGCCAAATGTCAGCCCTAATTGTGACAAATCGCGCAACCGCCCACAAAAAATTGAAAGCACTCGCAACCACTCGGTCACTTGGACTATCGACAAACCCGATCAGTGAACCGAGGCATAAATTCTAGTTTATTTCGCCTACTTTGGGAGTATGAAATCGATTCAGTACCCGGTAGCTTTGAAGAATCGTCTCATATAGAAGTGACCGAAACCCATGCAGTTTTCGATTTTACGGTCAAATTTATTGTTTAGCAGGCAATCAACACAAGGGTGCTTGCTTGGGTCCTCTTTTGAAAATCATTTTTCGCTGGAATGTTCCACAGATCACACGATATCACAATTGTATGCGGTTCGCTTTTGCTTGGCTCACTTTTATTTCGTTTCCCTTTTTTGGAATTCGCAACTGAATAATCACTTAGACCCTTCTCCCTATTCTGTTTAACTGGTTATTCACTCCGAAGATCTCGTCTTTGCTAATTTTGTTCGTTCGGTTCTTCTGAATGTGCGTAGTAAGTGTAATCCTTATGAGAACTTAACCACTTCGACTATGGGATGGGTATAATGAAACCGATGCGATGAATAAGGACTTCAGGAGGTGGCTGAGTGGTCAAGACGCGAATTTACTGACCGAAAGGTATATTGTTCAAACTCTGCATCTCGACCCTTCTTTTCTAGACCTAAGAAACCGAATAGTACGTACCTTCCGGTATCTATCTAGACTGGTTTTACCACAATTCGAACATTCCCGGCGTATTATCGAAGCAATTTTTTCACTACTATACACCCCTCCACCAACCTCACTAAAGTGGATAAGTAGCTAAGAAACAGTGTGGGTTTACAGGAATTTCGTACACCATCACGAGCTCCCACTTGTTCAGCACCCAGCTTTTACCACAGCTGTGGGCTGTTGCAGTATCCGTTATTTTTCTAATTCCCCTGCTTCATCCTCTGTGACTGCCTTTTGTTTAAACATCAGTGTTAGATCAATATTTTCGTCAACCTCTTGCAGCGAAGCCACTGTTATTTGTTAATTTATAACCGTGCTAGTTTATTTACAGCACACCCCATTAGTAAAATAATAAACGTGACGGGGAAAAATATATTTACACGCCACGTATGACTTGGGGAACGCGACTTAATTGCTGCAAACACATTTGAACAATCTTTTTGCCATATACTTCAGATTACTTTATTGCCCGAAGAATACAGTCCACCGATGCCCCACTTTCCTTTTCGTATCCAACTATACGTGCGCGCGACCGATGCCGACCTTGGTGTCAATGCGAGAGTTTCCTATCGCATTTTCCGCCCTCCTCATCCTCTGGAGTTCCAGTCTGGATTTGACCGTAGCATGACTCCGTTTGAAGTGGATCCACAATCAGGTCAGCTGATCATCAGTCGTGCTCTGGACGATGAAATTGGGGGAGAATCACAAGTTCTCGTTGAAGCCTGCGATTCATCTGCAACCACGGGCGTTTCCACTCAACTCTGCTCGTCTCCAGCCAGGATTGTTATTCGTCTCGCCAAACGCGCACCCGACGTTGTGCCGCAAATTGCTTGTACCTCGTCATCCGTTTTGGAGGTAAATTGTTGCTCAGTACATCCTGAGTGGCCGTTCATTTGCATAGTACCGCAAACCGTGCATATTCTCCTTAATTGCTATGTCAATCCAAGTAGCTTCAATCACAATCGGCATTTGTATCGGTGCTTATCTCCCATCTCAGTGTCCAGTTTTACCAGTGCGTAGGTATTCGCATATTGGGCGATACCTTTTACGCGCCTCCCAAGTCTGCATTTGCTGCTGTCATGGCTGATTACCTGGACTAATTTTGCGTGATATATATCACGACCAACAACAATATGAATGACTCACTCCCACACAACTGTGATGACTTTCCGGAATACTTGTGGTGTGTTGTATTCTCACCCGATACTTCGCACATACGTGTTGCCTGTGGATGCAGGTGTGCCGCGAAATAGCTCGTGAGTGATTCAACTCGTCATCCGTAGTTCTTCGTTTCCCCATCGTCGAGTTGCCCACTTCCTGCACGGTTAGTGGTCTAGCTACTCTAAATCGTTACGCTCAGCCTCTTCCCTCCCATTCCTAATTCACTAGGGCTCGATTGCCTGTCTTGTCTTATTCATCTCCCAACCACATATATTTGCCATTTCGAGTTATTGCCGGCGGTTTTACCCGATCGTACAGTCATTCGGTCGGCGGCAAGGCGTCACCGTATGCACGGCGCATTTCACTCTCTCCCCGTCGTTTGACTGGTGTGTTCTCCCTCCCACCATAAACCAAAAAAAACGTTATTTAATATTGCCAGCCCTTCACCCACCTCTCACGGAACTACAACGCATTTTGATTTGGGGTAAACTTTTCTCGTGTTTCGAAACTGTTTCATTCATAAGTTTTTGCCGTGTTCCATATGGTAGTGTTGATGGTGTATGGGTAACAGACTGCCACGGAAACCTGTTGTGCATGCAATCCAGGTGGCTTATTTCTCATTTTAAGCACACATACGCACGTTGGGATACGTTCATTTGAAGTGGCTTGTTTTCATATATTCATGGATGCAGTGAATGGATGTTTCTCTGTTCCATTTCTGAATCCATTCTTATTAGCAGACCATTTTTTGCAGGTAATTGAAGTAGATAGACTTAATTAGGGGATAGTCTGTCTCCTTCAAATGAGGGAATAGTTAACGATTTGCCTCATGTGTTTGAAAGCAGTATTACTTTGTGGCTGTCAGCTGGACTGTTCCCCAAACCACCGGTAGCAGAAATTTACTCGACTCTCCGTTCCGACAACCAACTGTTGGCCACAAATGACCAGACAGATCGATCAGGTGAGGACCACCGGCGCATGTTCGACATGCGCGACGTCCCCTGTGGCCGACCAACTGTTTCACCCAGTATCCGATTCCCAAGTGGCTTTTCATGTTGCTTAGTACCGTCTACCACTATTGACAGCATAGTTTTTGACTACATTAACATTCAGTCATCCGTTCTCTGTCTCGGACAGTATCATTGTCGCTCAGATCTTGGTTGTTTGTGTCTTTTGGTTTTCGATTTAGCTCGCGTGTTTGCTGCCCTAGCAGACCAACGCACCGTATGGATACGCTTAAATGGGATGAGGTCATAATTTTTCACTCCAAATGTTAGGGAAACTATTACGTTACCAAAGGTAACTGGTTTTGTTTCACAGACGCGTTTATTTTGGCCGATCCCTAGGGAGACAGCGGATTGAGTGTTCTAATCACCGGTGACAAAGGTGGTCCAAATGGGCTTCTGAGAGTGTTTCTGTTGTATATTGTCCGGTCGAATCTCTGGTGATTCTGAAACAAAAGGCACATTATTAGGTCGTAGGTGCATCATGTCAGGGGAAGTTTGGATATCAGGTGTTTGGACACAACAATTTACTGAATAATGAATGATTCGGGAGAACGGGAAAAATAGCCCACTTTATGGATTAATGCGCGCATGGTTCACTACACATTTGGTGAATGTTTTTGGTTGGCTGTTTGGTTAACTGTCTCAATAAAAGAGCTCATAAAGAGAACCGAAATATCCACAAATGTGGGATGCCCCTTCTTTAGGGGTTTTTGGATATACATATGACTACTCAGGCACTATTTTTTTTAATTCCGAGTCTACAACACGTGGGAAAGACATGATGTGAGTCATTTTTCCGCTTTTCAATTAGCCATGCAACGACGCTTGCCCTTTAAAGACTTTTGAACGGTCGATTTCTATCTGACGACTCCATGTTATACAACCGAAAACCTGATAACTCTAATAAATATTGGACAGGATGTTTTGACGCTTTTTTCCATGTTTTTCAACACATGTATCTGTTGTAGTTTAGAGTAGATTGGTATCAATCGCCTGGCAAGAAATCAAACCATTCCCGTTGCGGTCACCCATTCCGGTAACTTACTGAGTCCGCCCACAGTTCTTTCGCTTCACCACAAGGAAGTTAGCCGTGTGAATCTCGCTGGTCAGTAGTTGATGGACCCGAAATCGATGTTCCCTGTTTCGCATCTGAATTCTGTCACCTCCTTTGCAGAAGTGGGCCACTTCCAACATAGGCACAAAGCTGTTATACTGAGATTTTTGTTTCTACTTTCGCATTTGTATTCTAGTGAGCTTCACTTTTCTGGAAAGGCCTGATTTCATCCTCCCTAGCCGACTAGTTAGCAATGTCACATACAGATGAATCGCTGGTTTCGCTCGCATAGCTTGTAATCTAGGGAAGGACAGATATGAATCTCTGTTCTCTTTCGCCCAATCCTTCTTGTGCGTTCATACGTGTTGAGTTGCTGAATTGCGTATTGCTTGTTCCCACTTTTCAGTTGCTGTTCCCTACCTCCATCGGTTTTTTGAATACCGACTAGTTGTACTGTGTGGCGGAGGTCCAGGAAGTCCCGACTATCAATTAGGTGTATCTGCCCATAAAGGTAAAAACATTTGAGAACACAACCTTGCACTTTAGTTCCGATCTGTAAACGCGCACACGCACACACAGACGTGGATACTTTACTTCGTTTGAGCTGATGGTCGGTCATTGAAACAAGCCCTTCTTTATCAACCCGACCACACTGGCTTCAGACAAAGTGGATCGATTCTAAGCGTGATTAATTTTCACCTAGTTATCCTTCACAGTTTGCTGTAGACGTATAATATTGAACCAGCGTGCGGATAAGTTTCTTTTTGATTAACTACTGGCGGTATCCATAATTTGTTCGTCTTTGCCACTCAAGGGTTCACTCTGCTTTGGAAGCACTCATCATGGTTTTGGAAATCGATAGATGAGTTACTGGGGAAGTGGCGATTAGCAGTAACTAACCAAAAGACGGAACAAGCGAATTACAGAATCGTACCTCTAAGGTATGGCAACCAACAAATATGGGTAATGTGTCTAAATCTTGGGCAACAGTGATGGATGCATTCCGTCTTAGAACGAGACCAATTTTGAGTGACCTGTCTTGTAAAAAATGAAAGGTCGCAAATTTGGTCTGGTGGTCTGGTTGCAGCTGTCTTTGATCACGTGGATTGTATGAGTTTTCATTCGTACCAAGTGCCTATTCTTTGTTTCTGTTAGGACATGGAACTTACTAATGTCCTATAAAACGCAACATCCATGGTCTGTCAGGGAGGGCTGCGCCTGAACCGAATGGAGGCATTCCCTGTATCCTTCGTTTATCTTGCGTCTACTTGTTGGCTAGCTGGATAGATTTCTTGAACGCGAAATTAGTAAGCGATTCGATCACATGGCCCAAAGTTTTGCTTTTTGCATGTTTGACTTTGTGAGCCCAATGATTGCTCAGAACACGTCTCAACCCACTCACATCGATGTGCTGTGCTATTTTGACAGAATTGGTTGTCATTTGTGTGACCCTTTCAGCTCCATAGCCGAGGGCTAGACATGGCGGGATCCTTTTTCGCCTGCACAGCTTCTGAACGAAGTTGATTCTGTGGAATGTCCTTGGTTCTCCTTGCATTTATTCTAGACTGCGATAATTTATTCTCCCATTCGTTTCCTTCTATCTCCAGGATGATCATCTGTTGGACAGAGATGTTGCATTCTGTCAGGTTCGACCGGACAATCTATCAGGCACTTGGATACTTACAAGTGCAACCGGCGAGTTCGGGTTAAGTGTTGGATCATTTCGGATAGACCCGCGGTCTGGCCATGTGTATACTACCCAGCCGCTGGATTACGAGCGTGGTCGATTTTATCAGCTAGCTGTCGAATTTCATTTGGACAACGTCAAACCGACGATTGGCGCGCGCACGGAATTCACACTCTCTGTCGTCGATGTCAATGATTGTGCACCCGAGCTAGACACACCTGTGTAAGTTCACTAACAGGCATGCCAACGCCTTGGACGGTTGTTTTCTGCATTGATCTGTTTTCTCTGTTTGCTGGTACATCGTCTTCTCGTTTCACTTGAACGAACACCGCAACAGTCAATCAAGGTTTTTGACCTCTGACCTTCGCAACCGCGTGATGCCTCTACACGCTGTTTCTTGTTCCTTCGTGCTGTCGTGAGAAAAGGGGTTTGAACAATCGACGCTACTGCGTCCGTAACGGTGCATTAATTTCGATTTTTCTCTCTCGTTACACTGGAAAACCGAGTTGGTGTTCTTTGCTAGGTTAAATACCTACCTACATTTCATAGCCACTGGTTTCTGCGATAGGTTAGACAATCAGAATAATCAGAACACTTCTGATTTTCTGAAGTTTTTTTAAAAAAGCAAATGAAATTATCATCTTTCAGGAATAATCAGAACACTTCTGATTTTCTGAAGTTTTTTTAAAAAAGCAAATGAAATTATTCATCTTTGAGCAATTACTAAGCGAATGCGATTATGCCGCGTGAAGTTGGGAATTTTGTAATATGCACTATTAGGATTCAAAAAGAATTGCGTATAGGTCCTGTCTAGTATTCATCCGCTGCCCGATTTGTTAGATTTATAGCCTCGAAAAGTACTAAGCTAGCAGTGATGTATTACCAGTTTTGTTACATTATCAATAAAGCAGACTGCTAACGCTTACCGGCGTACTGTGTATTCATTCAAATGTGGCACCTAACGGCTGGCATCATTACTTTGGGAGTGGAAATCGGTCATTTGGTCTAAAAAAACAGAATTATACTAACCAATTAGTTAGCACTCTTAACCCATTTTTCTTCGTTATCGAGCTTCGTCCACAATCGTCTTATTTGGTTTCTCATCCAGAAAGTCTTTGTCGGCCAGCAAACGCTGATTTGGTTGACAGTACTGCCATAAGTTTACTCCTTGTCAGTCGTTGACCCCGGATCGTCGTTTCCACTATGATCCTGTGTTCTTGAGTGAAATGCATACAGGCAGCTGATGTATAGCTGATAGATATCACATATAGGTGTTGCCACATAAGAATTGTACCTACGGAGGACGGATTCATGCTATAAGTAGTACCGTATAACTAATTTGTCCATTGACCATATGTGCTCAATGTGTTTTTAGGTCTTTGTGATCAAGAGCTCTCCTCTGTTGTTATCCACGATTCACAGAGCCGAATTTTTGTATTAGTTCAGAGTTACAGTGTACACAGAAGCATCCCTTCAGCCACAAATTGATATCTGGACGTCGTAGATGTCGAACCCTAAAACCAGCGCTCGAGATTTGGTGTTTAAGTCAGTATCTTCATCTCCAAAACCATCATACTGGGTCAGCTTCCTAGCTAGCAAACTTTAACGCTGCTCCATCGGGGAACGCCAATCCGTAGTTAGTAGTTTACAGTTCTATGATGGGAAACCTCACCCAGCACGACGTATGATTGTCGTCAGCTTATCAAGAGAATATTGTGCTCCATACACAACAACTGCATACACAACAACCCAGCATAACTTCAAATCCGCACAGCTTCCATCTTTTCTCATTCTCTATTCAGATTGGGACGAAATTGAATTAAACTGAGATTTTCGGTATTTGGAAACCACTCTGGCGGCCGTTAAGCGAACATATTGTACCTTCTCACGAATTTGCTGCTTTTTTCTACCCTCCATAACCCACTTAGCAATACTGGGGGTGGGGGGTTCACTTTAACTCCAGCAGAGTTTCTCATACCAGGTTCTTCAGTAGCTACGGGCCTTGCTAACAGTCTTGTTGTCCTCCAGTGTGGGAGTAGGAATAGACATGGCGACTGGTCTCCCCAAAACTGTGTACTACTGTAATGGTATGCCGAACCCATCCGCTTCCTTGTGCTTGAGGGCCCCTTTCTAGGTGTTGGTGCCCTGACAATATACCAACCCGCGTAACCCATAACAGCATAAATAAAGATACCATCATGCCACATCGACCGTCGCATGGTGTCATCAACCAGCTTGTCTTACTTGTTACATACAGCAGGTCATCCGATGTCGGATATTGATGACCACTGGGGACATTTCCAAAACTTTACTCATTACCAGAACTTCTATCCGCAGCACAACTTAGACAACCTCATGCAAGCACTAAATCTCTGAGACCTCGAGATAGCTCAGTGGTTAGGGTGGGAAATTAGGAACGGGAAGGTCCGTAGTTCGAACCCAACCCCAGCATCTTGACTGCCCCTGAGCAACCTGGCTGTATCCCAACCCTCGTACTTCCTTCAGGTGGCATGGCAGCTAGGCACCGAAAGGGGTTATAGCTGAACGCTTATTAGTTAATATTACCATTGAACCTCTGGTAGAACTGTGGCCTTGCTGGAATCCTGACGCCAGGTCCTTTCTGATCGCAACCACAACCCAACGTGACGTATCGTCCGACATCAGGTAAAACATGGTGTCTGCACAGACTGGGTAGTTAGGTGGATCCCGAGGGTCGAATGAACAGAATAAGCGAAAACTGCTGGATATATTCGCAGATTTTTCCATTTGATTCGTGAGGTAGGTTGTCAGAGCCCCTGTTGTTTCCTCTGGTACGCAGCAAAGAACAAGGTGTGGACTGTTGGACAGAATATTTCGGACAGCAATTTAGTTGTCCACCTGCTACTTCTAATCCGAGATGCCCGCCTTTGATGGAAGTGTGAGTTGTGAATACACGCGTCCCCCAGCTTGAGAAGTGTTCCTATTTATACATATCCCTATAAAGTAATAAGAAATAATTGTGTACCTGTAGTATCCTGTGCCTAGCTGGCGTGCTACCGAAACGCTGCAGAGTATTCAAAAGTCTGGTGTTCAAATTATTGCTGGTGGGAGTATGCTGACGATATCGTTTACCTCTTGCAAGACGAATGCGAAGCACAAGTTCTAATGAATAAACTGACCTCCATCATACCATCTTTCTGCATGCGCCTTGAAAGGGTAAAATCATGCTTCAGAACGTCCACTCTGAGCATGCCCCTTGCAGTCGAAGGAGAAGCACTGAAGGTTGCATATCTCGGTAGTTGTATGAGCTCCGTGGGAAGTGCATCCGATTAAATAATAATAATAAAAATAATAAATAATCGTTCAGCTGTAGCACCCTTTCGGTGCCTAGCTGCCATGCCACACGGAGTCACGAGAGCTGAGATACTGTCAGGTTGCCCAAGCCTAGACAGGGGAAGTCGAGAGGCGGAGGTCGGGTTCGAACCACGGACCTTCCGATCAGTAAAGTCGCGCTCTAACCACTTGGTTCATCTCACCCCGTGTCCGTCAGTGTACGATTCTTAAAGGCCCAAGTCACGTTTGCTAACATGTGGTGTTAAAAGGCATATCACTGAGTCAAACATTCGCGTGTACCAAACTACAATAAGAGCTGGATTATATGGCTGCGGTGCGTGGCCTCCACGGTCAGTGTGAGTCATCTTCAGGTTTTTACTACCGATATTTCAGAAGTGCTGCTGGTATCGAATGGCGCTAACAGATCATCAATGGAGTAATTGGAAAACGGCACTCCGGTTGTGCAGCGAGTGCTTCAGTCCTGAAGAACATTGTACTTCACCAACTGATGCTGCTCGCTCATACTCTACACATGTCGAAACAGTCTACCAAGACCAGTGTCGTTCTATGTGCCTCCTTTAGAATGATGCAAACTGCTAGGTGCACAACGAATGGCTTGGCAGAGGGGTGTGAAAGAGATCACTAAGAGTTTGGGTGTTGCTTTCCAGGATGGGTTTATCGTGAATTCCTACTGTACTTGCTTGTAGGCATCGCAATAAACAGCCGGTCTCAATGTGGCCCTTGTTGCCAATTTCTTACCAGATTGACTGGGCGCTCGGAATTGTAGGAACCTTAGGATGCTTGCAGTAGGCCATCACCAGGTCGCCTCCCTCATCCACTCTGTTTTCACTTCAGAGTGTACGATTCTTAAAGGCCCAAGTCACGTTTGCTAACATGTGGTGTTAAAAGGCATATCACTGAGTCAAACATTCGCGTGTACCAAACTACAATAAGAGCTGGATTATATGGCTGCGGTGCGTGGCCTCCACGGTCAGTGTGAGTCATCTTCAGGTTTTTACTACCGATATTTCAGAAGTGCTGCTGGTATCGAATGGCGCTAACAGATCATCAATGGAGTAATTGGAAAACGGCACTCCGGTTGTGCAGCGAGTGCTTCAGTCCTGAAGAACATTGTACTTCACCAACTGATGCTGCTCGCTCATACTCTACACATGTCGAAACAGTCTACCAAGACCAGTGTCGTTCTATGTGCCTCCTTTAGAATGATGCAAACTGCTAGGTGCACAACGAATGGCTTGGCAGAGGGGTGTGAAAGAGATCACTAAGAGTTTGGGTGTTGCTTTCCAGGATGGGTTTATCGTGAATTCCTACTGTACTTGCTTGTAGGCATCGCAATAAACAGCCGGTCTCAATGTGGCCCTTGTTGCCAATTTCTTACCAGATTGACTGGGCGCTCGGAATTGTAGGAACCTTAGGATGCTTGCAGTAGGCCATCACCAGGTCGCCTCCCTCATCCACTCTGTTTTCACTTCAGTAAATAAAATATAATTAAATAAACTTTGTGGTTGTACACAATGAAGCATCAATTTTAGCACCGATGTTGCTATTTCTGATGTGCTCAGTGAATTAGAGGGATAGTTGATCGTACACCATTACTTGCCCAAATATATGTGCACGAAACACCTTCAGAATGGATTCAAATGTTCACGGAATCCCGTTTTCTCTGACATAACGACACTATACCATACTTTTCTCAGCCGGCCACCCCACCACAGACTTTCGTCTCTTTTCAGAACGAATCCTCATTCTGCTGTGAAGCTTCTGACCTTTCCGCATACAGCATCCGTTTGAAATTCTGGCGTTAATGTTCCACCTTTTGTAGAAGACAAAATCCGAGAGCATAACACTTTTCATTTGCTCACTGTCTACCAAAAGACTGTTCATCCAATATTTTTGTTGTTAACGGCTCAGTAGTTTTATTGGCTCTACGCCCCTATCCACCAGCATTTTGATGAATTCAATCAACTGAAATGTTGCTACTATAGAAAGGCTCCTTTCTCTTGTGTGGACAGTCAGTTCAATAACGGAAGGTTGTTGCTCCCTCCTTCTTCGCGTTAGACTAATTCGCTCGATTGCGTTGTGGTCGCCACAACCTAACATTCTGCTTGAGTGGCATTTCGAGGACCTAGTCAAAATGACTCATTCAGTTGTTCGTCTTGGCTGGCATGCATTCAGGCCATCGATCAATTGGGACGTGTGTCCACATATGCGGTGAATTGGCATCTGTATGTTCTCTGCCTGTCATCTTATAGTCACCCTCTCCTTTCTCATGGCCGTTGACCTGAAGCTCAGATGGTTGCATACCTTCCCACATGCTAATTAGGATGAACAAGGGATACGAGAATTGATCTAATCAAGTTTAATTAATTTGCCCTTTAGTTTCATCCAATTCCTCCGCCAAACTTGCTGTCACCGAACGGATTTCGCCTAAAATGTCCACGTAATTGGTTGTGAATGATATTCCGCACTATTTTCTTTGTGATGAGCTCTTGGCCACTCACTCAACACCTGAGTTGATAGTTCACAGTAGTAGTCTCCTAATTATACGTGCCATAACAACAGTTATGAGGTCCTTGAAAAATCTAAGCATTAGACTGGTTTTGAAAAGCTCAGTTCTACTCCGGTGGTTCTCCACCTCTTTATCCCGTTACACCTCTCTTAACAAACAGACCAGGGCCCTACCGTTTTTACGTTGTATAATTCATCGTAAAATTAACAGCATTGACAAGTAAGCTGTGGTCCCAGTTGGGCTATGTGAAGATCCACCACCCAAGATTGTTCCTTCTTCTGGAAATCAATTCGGCTATCTTAGCAACCCGAATAGTCCCGGCCGAGAATGAAATCTCTCTACGAATAAACTTTTCAAACCTCCGTCTTGAGACCACTCTGTCTGTGAAGGGTACAGACGCCGTATGATCCATGCCGTATCGTTAGTCAAAACGAGACCACTGCGTGAAGACGCGTGACAACCATCAGTGTTTCCCAAGTATGGCCCAGATCTGGAGTCAGTAACGCTGGAATACGTCGCTTGGGAGGGTCGACTCACCTAGGGTACTCAAATGCCACGTTTAGGTTGATTCGGTCGCATTCTTTGCGTGTCGAATGACTGTCCACCTCTTTATTTGGTTCAGCCGTAGGTAGAATGGAGACAAGCTAAAATGAGTCAGTCAATGACTCGGTTCTTACCACCTTGCCACCTTGCCCTTTTTTGGACCTCAAAACAAGGCATACCAACGACTAGTGGCACTGATAGAGATTAGCCGATCGTAGATCCCATGGGCACATTTGCAGTAAAGCTGTCGTCTTCAGTATGTAGGTGCTCGGATTCTTACATTGTGAGTGTTGACTGTAGATAAAGTCTTTGTGCCCTGCTTGATAGTACTCCCGCCATCCACCTTTATTCCAGGCAGATAAAACCGTAGCATTATGCGCTATCGGGCCCCCAGAGGTGACTCAGCTGATCGCATAACGTATACAAAGGTGGTTTGATGATCCCATAATGAGTTAGGCCGTTTGGAGAATATATATTCGAACAAGAACCGATCCCTTTATTTTATTTTACAGTCAAATTGGCAAAGAGTAATCGAAATAGAAAACCGAAAAGCAATATGATGTCTTCCCGCGAAATACAATATTTGAGCGTATTTCAATAATGAGTTCTAATGGGTCAGGGTGCGCATTTGGTCGTTGAAAAAACTGTGGAAATATGTGCATAATGCACAACTTTTGTTAATAATGCTTGAGCTATGTCCTACTTTCACCTCGTGCAAAAGATTTTGTCAGGGCATGTAATTTCACATCTAACTAGCGGTTGATGCTTTTCATATCGAGTCTTCCTGTCGGTACTATCTAACACAAGACGAAACCGACGTGCACCAAGCTGCTTAAAGTGCTCTACCGCGTTTTCTAGGGCTACTTAGTAATACCTGTCACACTTTCCATTGAATGACGTGTCTCACAACGAATGGGGATTTTTGTGAGGGTTTATTGACCTGAGTTGAGTCCGGAAAATCGATGAAGTGCTATTAGTGACGTAAGTTACTTCTGTTTATTACGTTTGGATGGTTATCGTTTTTTGGAATATTTTGCTTCGGTTCTGCAAAACGTGGAAGAGAGATAGACGTTTCTCTGTATACTGAAAGGGACCAGTGCGAAATGGTTTGAGAACCACTGCACTGGTCTGACCCGTTACCTTTGAGCCGTTACATTTGTTTTTTGGATAACTTGTGCTTGCGCAACCGCTAATAGTGGTACTAACTGTTTTATTCATTAAAATGAGGAAGTGTATGGGTTGATGCAGAATGGACGCACTTTCCACATACCTATACTATAACTAGATGTTCTTCGATCTCTTCAGTTATTTGATTGAACTGATGGAGAACACTGTGATTGGCACGCGGATCACGCGAATACTAGCTCGTGACAGAGATGCAGATCTGAAGGATCCAATCACTTATTCTATCTGGCCCTCTTCTTTGCCGGAATCCGAATTATTGAGTCAAGGCGATGAGACCGCTCAACAACGCCGACTTCGTCTTGATACGCTCGCACGCGCTAACCCAGAGGTGAACCTTGTACGCCATCAGTTTACAGTGGATTCTGAAGGTTGGGTGATTTTAAAGAGTCCACTAGATTTCGAATCGACGCGAGAACACAAATTGAAGGTGAGTTCGTTCGCACCTGTTTTCTAGCTTTAGCTTTTGCGATCGCTGTAGCGCACTATCAACAACATATTTGTGCTACTATCCTTTATCAAGTAATATGTTTCTTATACATATTTTCAGGTCGCTGCGATGGATGCCGTCGGGCACTGGAACTCAAGCATGGTCGTCATCTCCATCATAGATGTGAACGATAATGCCCCTCACTGGCCACTTAAGGAAATAGAAAATAACTCCTTGGATCATATTATTTATGCTGACGTTCTACGGCATCAAGTACTGCAAGCAGATGTGACCGTCCCAGAAAACTGGTTACCAGACTCAAGTTTTTTGGTCTATCAACTCAAGCTGGTGGATCCTGACACACAAGTGGCGCTTACGCCAAGTTTCTTTCTTTTGCCCGATACATACACCGAATCAGTGAATGAGTTAAAAGCCAGCTCCTATTTCTCCGTGTCATCGTCAGGTGCCGTCCAGTTAAGACGGCCTCTCGATCGGGAACAGACAGCGGAGTACATTCTCAAGTTTCGTGGTTCCGATGGTGTATTCGTGACAAAGGACTCGTTCGTCCTTAGAGTACGGGTGGAGGACGCAAATGACAACGCACCAATTTGTTTGGAAGTAAGTTTTGGTCCCTTCGTCCCAGTTGGTCATTTTTCGATGCCAGTGGCCGTGGGGTCCGGAATTGCTATAGGGACAACATCTTCCGTCAACATTTTCCCTATGACATACCTCAGTAGCCAATTCACGTCTGTAGATGTGAAAGGATTTTTTCTTATTGGTTGCTGGACTTTTTGTGTAAAATAACCAACAATAGATGCGGGTGAAATGCGTGCTCAAGAAATCGGAAAGGGGAAGACCCGTCGGATTTTTTCGTTCTTTTTGTCCATATGCGGTCTCCTCTATTGTTTGCCCTGTCCCGTGAATCAACCAGCGGTGATTTGAATGTCCTCTCCTTTGTGATCGATTGATGTTCATATCACTCTGTGTCCTGCATAAACGGCAATCACATTCTTTCGGACGCATTATCCTTAAACTGGAGTTCGTCCAACAATACCTGAGTTAATCTTTACCTTCATCCTTATCCACCGGATTGCATTCTTCCTTCCGACTACAACCGGTGGGTGCAAATACGACTCGATTTGGTTGATACTGAGCGGGGATGCGTAATATGTGACCTAATTGCCTCAGTTGCTGACATGATACGATCTCGTTCGAGGAGCGATTCCGGCCAAGTCGTAGCCGACGCGTTGTCACCACTAGGCATGCGTTTTTCAGACCGATTTTCAAATACCATCAGCCGGCAAGCTGCAACTACGTTGAACATGTTTAGAGCAGAATGGACACATCTTACGCGGGGACACTGCCCGTGCATTTCATGGCATTTCTGAAAATGTCCCATACCAGAAGACACTGCTCTTACGTTCCCAGTTTGCTGTGGGTTTCCCTCTGTAGTATCTTCGCCGAAAGTTTACCACTCTTCAGATGGACAATGATTTTGGCTCTCCCGGGTGGCTTCACCTAGAGTCCACACAAGTGCATATCGTTGCTGATACTTAGGCAGAACCTTACATTCAGAAAAAGCAGGGCACGTGGCGTATCTTCTGACCTCAATCAGCAGCTGGTCGAAAGCAAAAAGTGCGTTTTGAGTTGTGGTACCCGACAAAAAGATTTCATTGGTAAACAAACCAGGACGAAGTTCTTTGTCTCCTGTAGTGTTTTATTGGATAACATAACGGAGGATGTTATCTACCAAATGGTAAAAAAGGAGTGGGGAGTTAGGGTAGCCAAGTCACAATGAACGGGAAGGAGAGAGAGCGAGAGAGCTGGTCCCATGTCTCAATTTCTCCTGACTTTACTAGCCACCAGGCACTTCAATTCACGACAGACAGTTTCGCGGGATCAGTCGGCCATCCCATGCAATGGTTGTTGATGTGCGGTACATGTAGCGGCCTCACAAGTGACAATGGATGGGGATGTGATCAATACAGCTTCCACCTTTTTAGAACCTACTTCCACGTATCAGTTCCCCTCGCTGCAAACCTGCCGTCATGGTAGTTGCCGCGCAGTTTATTGAGGACTTGTTTGCAAACGGGTGATAATCGACTGGATCCGCAGCTGGAAGACTACTTATTTATGTACTTTGTTTGGTTAATTAGTTACTTTGCTGAAGATCCTATAAAGTGTTTTTTCATCGATTCAACACCACCCCATGAATGACTTAAACACCGTGCTGCGTTTTATAACCTGCAACTCCGTCTTGACTTCATCCGATGAAGGATTTATCGAGACATACCGTCGGCCTCTCACCATGACCAGTTGGATTCACTGTCGGCAATGTTTTTCCATCGTTCTAGGTGACATCGGTCAATTGAATATTTCGATTCCCTTACACCTAATCGCTTGTAACTGGTGGCTTAGATACGCTTGAATAAGTCCCGGGAGTTTCTTGAGAAACTTGCTGTTTCTATTTTGAAGGTTCGATCCGATCACCATGTCTCCGTAAATAAATGTTTTATAGAGGCGTCCAGTGTGTTGTGGTGCGGTTCAGAGGTGATTTCGGCCGCTAGACAGACGGAACTTCATACGCCATTAGTGTTGCAATCTGGTGTTGTGCTGCCGAGGATGCCATCCGTGGAACGGCGGTTGCCGACCCTGCGGTGGAATCGACACAATGGAACTCTTCATACCTTCTCCATAAGTTAAATATCAGAATTAGAAACTTTTGGAAATCGATCTTTCCTATCTGGAGAAAATCGCCACCGAGCGGTTTTGACCTTTTGTAAGGAATTTTCTCCCCCTCTATGCCCCCCCCCCCGTGTCCTGCTGTTTGTTCACTGATATTTATTTATCACGGAAAGCCTATTCACGGATAGCTCCTCAAAGGAGATAGGGCACCGTTTCTTATGTACAACCTGTGACCGCGCTGGTAGTCAAGCAGCTTTGTCCCATGCTGTGTACCTGATGCACCCGGGGATCTGGATTTGGGTTTTGTATATCTTACAGAGATAGATTATCTGCCTGAGGTAATTTCACTGAATATTGGCGTTCCCCTCCCAAATCATCATACACAAATTTCGATCTACTCGTTTCCCATAGTGCAAAAAACCGACCATGAAAATGAAGATCATCAAAATGCAGAAGAGAAAACCCACCTATTCACACCGAAGAGGGACATTAGTGGTTTTTGGTACTCTATTTTCAGTAAATCTATCGTTTGGTTTTATAGGGTGAAACGGTCATCTAAAATTATGACAGCATACGTCACTGGCTGAATACTACAGACAGCTTGCAATGCTTACAAAACACGACGCACCCATAATTTCTGACTATAATCTTAGGTGGTGTTACCGTAGTGGCTGGCTTGCGTCAGGTGATACCGCGCTCTATATTCTGCGTGGTTCGAGGACCTTCCTCGCTTAGAGATAAAGTTCTGGTGACAGTACCGAAAGACATACATATACGCGATATTAAGATACAGTTTTCAACTATAAGCTTTCCGTTCTCAATCGAGCCTCGGAATTTCGACAGGGAGAGTTTACAGTGCACTAACTGGGAAATTTAGTTTGTCATAGTTGTCCGAATAAATTTCAAAATTGCCCGTATGGAGTTCCATCCAATTGACCGTGAAAACAACATTGACTGTGAGGTACTATCACATAATTTTGCGGGCTTTGTAGCCTGTACTACTTCACAACCTAATTGAATGGCCCATACTCAAGGTAAACCGTACTCGTAGTTTATCAGCAACATCTGCTGTTTTATTAGACTCTTCTAGATCTTACCAAGTGACTCATCTGTTTTCAGTCCACCAGAGGGTAGGCTATAAGCGAACAACAGGGGGAGAAAACTATTTACCTGATCCTCTTCTTTTAGCTGAACGTACAACCGGATTGCAATGACGGTTTTGAACCGATCTTCCTGATAAGGACACATTTTAGCCAGACGAAATTGTCCGTTCATTGTTTTGGAATAGACAGACAGCACTCGCAAATGCGTTGTCTTGTCGGCTCGCTCAGACAGTCTGGACAAGTCCGATTTGCTAGTACGCTTTCCCTATCCGTATCCACCTGTTTAACGACTCACAAATTTGACTAATTTGATAGTCAGTGCTATGGTCCAGCCAAACAGGTTGATTGTCCATAAGAAAGTTTGTTTTATCACGCGACAATTTCGGCGTAGTGTAGGTAGGCAACCGCATTCCATGTTTGACCCAATGAGCACCAGAAAACGATTGAATCAGATTCCTTAAGCATGTTGTTGAGCTGTGTCGCCAACTTCCACCTTTTGTGCGTCACGATAGAGACTCAGTCGGCATTTTTTCAGTCTGGGCGATGATTATATCTAACAAATCAATAGTAATTCCCTGGATGGACCACACCACCGCGGTTTTCCAGATTCCACCTGGAATGTATACCTTTCGAGGGGCCATCCCAGGTCTCAAAACAAACCTGACATCCACTGCCCTCCCAGGATAGTCAGGAGGCAAACCGTCCGCTCACGGTTTTTGTGTGCCCAGGTGCCAAGCACTCACTCCGTTAGAGACAGGTGTGGTCGTTCGTTCTCTGGACAGGCAAGTATCAACATATGAGATGTAACTGTCGAACCACTGCATATCACTTGATGACACAGTTGCGTTCGAATTGCACCCACGGGCTGAATGAACAAACTAGCGTTAATCTGCGAGTCTTGATCTGTTGGTATCCAGTGGTCTAGTGTGTGACTAAATTAGCTGGCTGCATATGTCGGACGGACACCTATGTAGAGCACTGAAGTATTGAACAAAAACTGGATCCCTTTGAGGGACCAGTATAGTATGATTTCTTTCGAGGAACGGCTTTTTTTGAGGACGTAAGGGAAGAACTGTATTGGAAGGGAGTTTACGAACGGCATGTCATCAAATTGAATAATTTCTTCAAGGTAATCTTCAGAATATATTTTCAGGGGGCTCGTCTTTTTGAATTCACGTTGATGGGGTTCAGGCGACTGTGCAAATAGTTCCGAGGAATGACTCGAAGAGTGCCTATTCTATAATCCATACTTCGATGGAACCCGATTGATTCACCCTAGGGATGATTACTGACCTAAACATGCTATAATGACCGATTTCTTCACTCCCAGGTTTATGAACCCATCATATATGAGTGACCTTTACTGAACGTATATTATTTTTTTAGGGGAGCTGATAATGATCCCGGGAGATAAATTGTGTAGCCCTGCGAACCATCGTAACGGGACGCTATGATAGTGCTGCAGCAGTACGATACACTCTATCCACAGCGGGGGCATACATAAAAAAACATTTACTGAACGCAGTTGTGATACTCGTTGTGCTCCTTAAGCGGCGGGAAATTCGCTTTAGCTGCTGCTATTAGGGAGGTGGGAATTCTTAGTTTATATATCATAGTGAAAATTCGACAGATCCACCCCTATGAGCCGAAGAGAGGTCCTCATCCATCTTATGACCCACATTAATGGGGCACATGTGAACAGAGGACACTTGGCCGCATAGTTGTAGTTGGGTAGGATGCGAGTCTGTGATGGTCTTCCTGATGACGTCTTTGTTTACCAGTGTGTCAATTTTCACTGGCCACAATGTGTAGCCTTTATGGTGAGGTGCATAAGTAAAGATCATGGGTGGTGGGTGGTCCTCGCGATAGCGAGGATTCGACAGCTTTGCTAGAGTGTTAGTCGAAGGTAAGGTAGTCTATAGCTTAGCTGGATGGTTGCTTATTCCATGACACCTTCGCATCATTCAGCACTTAACCACTTTGCCTATCGCTGTCTTTAGTTGGACAACATTTCCCATTATTATCATCCAAAATAGGGAACAAAACTAACAGCGCTGATCCGTTGATTAGGCTTTTCATACCTCACTGTGATACGTAATAGTCCTAAACAATATCGTCAACTTTAAACACTGATTTGCTTCCACAATTTGACTTTGTCGCAGCAAACATGAGATTTCTCCCCTTGAACGATTTGTTCTCATCCAAAGCAATAACTTACAGGCTTTTTCACACTTTTTAAGTCGCCAGTTTGTCGTCCGTTCCAGCCTGAACGTATTCTGTCGGTTGCTGAAGATACCAAGCGTGGGACTGTGCTTACTCAGCTTGTGGCTACCGATGCAGATGCTGATCTTCTGAATTCCGAAGTTTCTTACCGCCTCAGCTCCGGTGATCCCAGTCTTTTTGATATCAATAGCACTGTGGGACTTGTGCAACTTGGAGGAGACCTGGACTTTGAAACGAAAGAATCCCACGAACTCAGTGTCATTGCTAGTGACCCTGGGGGCTTGGGTTGCCTGTTTCATGTCGTCGTACACGTTCTCGATGTGAACGACAATCCTCCCGAATTTGAACCTGTCGCGATCAGTCCCATCCCTGAAGATGCTCCTCTTGGTAGCCTGGTGGGGAAAGTGACTGCTAGAGATCGAGATTTGGGTATGTGAACCTGCCTCATACTTACCTGCCTTGGTTGTCATGTGTCTCACATTTCCTTTCCTTTGAGTACTTTGGCTCCTCCTTGGATGAGAGGAGCTCTTACAATGTGCAGAGTGTTCCTTGGCCGTTAAAACCTTCAGGCGTTCCCGAATATTTCAATACAGACTCACCTCGCTTACTGTGTGATGATGCACCGTGGAATAGGATTGTATTGGCGGTGCCACCATTCTCTTATGCAAAAAAATATTTTCGTTAGATTTCAGGAATCGAGCTGAATTCGCCGTTTCGCCCCGGTGGCATTGCTCGATTTTGATAGGAAGCTCAATGTTTTCATCTTCGATCATGGATCAAACTCCTAATGTATTGTCTGTTAGAGAACTTTTAAAGAGCTTTTTGACCGCTGATCACCATTCGATGCTCACCCCACATGGACTCCTCCGTGTCGCACACTTTCTGGCGATTCTTTGACGTGTATTTACTTACTTTATCTTATGGCAACAAACTGGACTTACTCGGGTATCTTTAAGTTCCCACATATTGTCGTAGCATGAACTGGTTTCTGTTCACTCAATCCTGCTTGCCTTATTGTTATGCAAAAAGATAAGGCCAGTTCATTGTTTGAACGCTGTCTCGTGACTGATTCATCTTTGAGTCTCCTATGTTCATCTCAGCGGATTGAACTAAACCTCCTCAACTGCTCTTCATTTTACACATTCGCTTGCCTTCTGGACAGACAGACAGGAAATCGTAATCACCATCATCGTTGTCAGCTGTAAGGACCGCGTACTTGTCATATAGTGGTCGTAGCTGCCACAGTTCCGTTCACCGATAGGGTAAGTGGGTGGGGTAAGTAGCTGCGCATTGGTGGCGAGAGCTGATAAATTGGTGCCTGTACACTGCAGTGTCAGTGGACTGTTAAGGGGGGGAATTGGGAAGGGAGCTTTGCATTGAATGCAACAGATTGGATGCATGAGCGTCAGTGAGGATGCGACTGGGCCATGTCTGACAATGTCTCTAACCATTGATTTGGCCCATCTCGGGGTCCCCATCCAGGAAGACGGCATTGACCAGAGCAGCCGAGTTTGCTGGCAGTGGTTTTTATACTTCGCTGCCAATTCATTGTTTGACCACCTCTGGTTCGTTTCCACGTGGTTGTGCGAAAAGAACCCTTCGAGGAAGTCGATCGACTGAGCAAATCGCAATTCTGAACTGTGTTGCCCAACATTTTTCAAACTGTCAACTAGTGACGGTCTGTGGAGAACAAACTGGTTGGGATCTCATGGACATTCGTTCCGTTTGGTAATCTTGCTGAATTCACGGTCGTTCTTTCTGGAGCCGATGTAATCGATGTTGCTGCCGGCCTTTCAGTCGTCAGATTTCGTCTGAACTGGGTATAGTAGGCGCTACGAGACATCCGTTGTGTCTAGGCTGGAACAATCTAGTATTCAACAGAGCAATACTACTGATAAACCGCCACCCTAGCGATTATGTGTTAGATAGTGTTTGACAACATCTGTGGCCACATTCGCAGTCACATTTATTTGATTGTGTAATGATGGATACCGTGACACAGACTTCCGCCCAGCCTTTTCTTTGTATACATTTTCTACCGGTACTATTTCGGAATAATGTTTATGTTTCCCGTAGCCATCGGTATTATTTTTGACACTGTGATTAATTAGATTTCATTATGGCGTCCTAACACTTTTCTGTGTTGCATTAGTCACCGGCATGTTGAGTCATTGTGTGGGACATATGGTCCCACGATTGGTGCTGTTCATTTCGATCCATTATTTCAGTCATCTGAAAAGCCACAAAGGCCTGGGAGCTTTCGTCTCATTATGCATCCGCGATTTGCTCCCTACTTATTTCGTAGTGGTTTGACTGTCCCAGATAGATATGAGACTGGAGAATCCTGTCCTGGTCCTTGTGGGTTGTCGTCGGTGTGAAGGTTCCTTCCTATCACAAAGACCGTGGCTAAGGACCTACTATTTTTTGTGCGCTCCACTTCGTTTAGGCCGTCTCGATGAACATCCCGATATCCACTGGGTATGATTTTACGTCTCGATGAACATCCCGATATCCACTGGGTATGATTTTATGTTTTATTTTGGTCCCAATTACCCCCCCCCCTATTTTATCCTCACGCTTCAAATACCCGCAATAAGTGTCGAGGAGTTTATTAATTTATACGTGCACTGCCATGCGTGGTTCACTGCACTCCCGAATTTTTTAGCAGCTCTGATAATTTAATCTCATGGCAAACCTGCCCGACCTCGCCACGTAGTAGTGCTGCGGAATGCGGATAGTTTGGGTGCACTGCTTGGTTGTCGATTTATTGTCAGGTACATTGGAATTGTGTAGTAAATTGTCGTAAGCTACCTAAGAAAACCACTGGATCGAACACAAAACCGCACTGTCTTGTCGCAAACCCCATATCTTCCAGAAACTCATCCATCAATTAGCATTACTTTATGAGCTGGGGATGTAATAAGTCGGTGCACTCTTGGTACCTATCTCCCTGTTGCTGTTCTCTGCCTTTCGAGAGTAAATGGTGTTAGCTAAAACCCTTGTACTCCGGCACTCGACTGACACAAGACGCTGATGACACTATAGGTGACTTGTAGAATTAGGCCTGTGTCCAGATCGTTGTATCTATCTACCAAAATCCTTGTGAATCAGACGCCAAACACACGCACACTGTGACTTAAGGTAAGTTGCTGTCTGTTTTCTAAAACACAGTATCATTTTACTGAATCGATCCGCCAATTATTTGATGGCAAAGCGATTACTCTCTTCGCTCAGCTTGGTTTGTTTCTATCTTCCTCTTTTCATCTATATCTTGCTGCATAGTTGAAATCTCTTTTACCTCTTTAAAATTTGCTGTTCAGACTACGTATCGCGTCTGAGACAGTCAATATCATAAGAAATCAATTAAATCTTTCATTTTTCGGAACACTCCTTGGATAAATGTGCACACCATAGCTAATGAGCAGTTGGTGGCAAAGTGCTATCTACCACTCAAGCCGTTGGCGCACCTATTTAGAAGCCTGAACTTTCTATGGAAAAGCGCTCTTTACATACGCCACGTTGACAGACAACTGCAAGTGAACCAATCACCGGAACTAAAGTACCGGACGATGACCAGTGGGACCCATTGTTCTCGTCTTTCCAATATTTGGAAGAGTTCGGAAAGCAATGAGTTGATGTAGGTGTCTCATGTTAGCTCTAGTATTCGATTCTAGTGTACATTAGCCGACAAGATTCTGCACGGATGACATATTACGAACGAATAATCGACTCTATGGAATAATAATTCCCCGCTGTATGCCTTTTACTACCGTCAAGGAAGTGTTTCCAATTGTACGATAGTCGAATGGTGGCTTGTTTGCTTCGTTACTCAAACAGGAAACAGCACTTTTGTAATTCACTACTCATAAGGTTGCTGAAAACTCCTCGACAACCCACGACCGGTTTCACCCTTCTTGGGGCTCATCAGGTAGGCACAGTCCCCGAGTTTCCGTCAACCTTAAACTTGAAAACAAATTGCACGAAATCAGCGAATATACACTCATTTGCAAACTAATTTGGTTTTTCGAGAGACTTACCTGGAACCCAGCTGAATCTCTCGGTCTTGGTGCTTCCAGCCACTGTGTTTTCTACATCGTCCGTTTGCACCAAACAGTTGTTTTGCGCAACATGACATCAGAGGTGTTCAAGGTTTGTTCACTCAAACCAGTCTGTCTCGTACCAACCATTTTCTAGATATGTATTTCATTATAATTAGTTCCATTAACGTTCACTCTCAGTCTGAATCACATAAGTTCTTTTGCTTCAGTCCAGTAAGTTTCGTCACCGCAGCTATGTGTAGTTGTCATTACTTACGCTATCCACCCCTTCGTTTCTTACCTTCAACTCTCTGTCTCACAACCTGTGCAGCCGACATCTGCTTTTATGACCCATCATTGCCTCAAGCGTGAGATATCTCTAGGACACTGCTGCTGTTGTTGTTTCTATTTTCTATGGTACTTCCCGAAGACGATGACTATTCCTCCCCTGGTTTCCACCCTTGACGAACACATATTGAAGTTAGCTTGATGCTTGCATGTGCGGATAAACGTGCCTAAGCGCTTCATCCGGGGCGTCTACAAGCCATCACTAATAACTTTTCCAACAACACTGTCGACATCTGTCGGATTCCATCCAGTCTAACCGGTGGTCGCATCATCTTCTCGCACACTGCTTCTGCTGCTCGTGTACCTACGGATGGTGATGCTACTGTCCAATTTAAATTTTCTTTCTCCCAGTTAGGCCATTCTTTCCTTCCCTGTATTCCCATCACCCTTACTACAGTTCATTTTTCCCCTGTTATCACTGCAAATGTCAGATTTTTTTGGTTTGACATAAGTGAATTTGGGCACGTCGTTAGGTTTCACCATAATCGAGTTACTAACTAAGTTGTCACTCTGCGACCGTTCGCCTGTCTACTTCGCTTACAGTTTGGGTCTTGGTACTTGTCAATGACTGTCCACCCGTTTTGGTTCCTATCTATCAGGGTGCATCCGTCCTTTACGCTTCCGAAAATAAGGGACTCGGCTTTCGCACGCTTCCAACGCATACTAGAGCCTTGTTGTTTGTTTTGGCTATAGTTTACTCAATTTACGGACAATGCTAGCCTTCTAGTTTTCTAAATTTTATGAGATCAAATGACAGGATTGCTATTCGAGGACCTCAAATTGGTCCACAATAATCAAAGGAAATCACACCTCGCTCGAATTTCCAAGTTCATTTAATTACGATTTTACGACTTTTTAAGCGAACTTGCAAGTAGAAAATTTTATTCTTTTTTAATACAACCACCATAGGGACTCTGCAGCATAGACATACTATTCCTTATGAGTGTGTGCAAAACGATGAATGTTTTTGCTTTATTACCCTAGAGACTGTCTTTACGCTTGTCGGTGTCGGTTAAATGTGTATATATCGCTTCACAAACTTGTTGTGCGCAATGCTGTTCGTTCTCACACATTTTGTAAGCTTCATGCTCGGGTACTCTAGTCATATTTGTACTACCAGCTACGGCCTTTCATTAGTTTGTCGGTCGCCTGGTAAATAATTAAACTTTGGTGTTCTATGCTGAAAACGCTGCTGGTCACGAACCTCGAAGCCTATTCACAACTTCCAGCTCTAAGTTCTGCCGCCATACAGCTGCATGGTTCACCAGCTTTCCTGTTAACTCATACTCAGGTCTTTTGCCGCCCATCTTCTAACCTCTCGTTGCTGCCACATAATATAGTTGACTCCTTTATGGGGATATGCGTATGGATTCGAGTCTCTCTCTCTCTCACACTGTTGATGATCCCTAGTAAGAGTGAAACTGGTGTTCAGCTTTTCAGCTTAAGTTGATGAGGTATGGAATTCAGCAATTAGCGATGCATATTCCAACGGTGCTTTTGTTACTGCTCGGGTAGAGTTATCCAGATTTGGATTGCACCAAAGAGCGATGTGTGTTTCGATCAGCTTGGCTTTTGTTAAAATGGCTTGAAGATTATTCCGCTGGACAACCATATCGTCTGAAATTTATCTACCACGCGGTCATAAGGCAGTTCGCCGTTGATGTAAACAGCCCTCATAAAACCCAGTTCAGTGTCTTGATCGGCTCTCCTGTCCTCGACTCAACGTGTTCGTCAACGTCAGCGTACCCTTAACAAACGTGTGCAACAAGTCCTTACCTTTTTGATCATTTTTCACTTGGTTTGCCATTTCTTTCCACCGCCCCAGACTGAACCCCTCTACTTTTTGTTTGTTTTATTTCGGNAATTCGATAAATCTGCGATCGTGACTCATCACGTTCAGATGCCCAGTAGGCAAGGAGGCATATCTGTCGGGGTAGTACGAAGCCTACCGGCCGATTTTTCTCCCCTTGTATGACCACCGTTTGTCGGCCCCGTAGATTTTTAGACACGAATTTCTACTAAAGGTTGAGGTTGGTTAATGACTCTTCAAGATCCCGTGGGTTGCCTACATGTGGTAGCTCGACAAAGCGATGTGACTAGTCTGCTGATGGGAACATATCTCTGTGTTTTTAATCTATCACTTTGTTGGACTAAGGTGTTGCTACTGGCATTCGTACATCTTTTAAAGAACAAGAATATCATTCCGTTTAGTGAATGCACAAACTGCGTTTACGTGATCAAACGTTGAGATTGTCCGAGACAGCGAACTAGGTAAATATTAAGACAGCGACGTATGTGGGAAAGAAAGTGGAGTCCTCAAAGTTCCCAGAAATGCCTAACGGTTGCAGTAGCTTCCATCCGGTCATCGCTCACCTGAATTAGTTGTCGTCTGTTAACGGTCCAAATGCATGTTCAAATCTTTAGTTGTGTATTTGAAACAATTGTGAGTATTATTCGCGTGACTCTGTCACGCTAGCTTTATTTTTGTGATCATACAAATCGGTTTGGCACAGTTCCGAGTATACATGCCGTATCTTCACCGGTATTAGTCCATCACTTGTTTGCATTAAAACGTTTGACTAAAACCGAAGTCTAACCATTAAAAAAGTGATGGTTCACAATTCTGAATGATATCAGTTTGTCGACCCAAGGTGTCGTTTTCACACGTGCATTCTTATTTAGTCCGATTGGAAGATTGAATGCACTTTTTTTTCGAAATTTTGTGTACAGAGATAACTTTGTCGGCTGGGTGAGACGTTTTCAAATTCCATACTAGTCACTCTGTGGGAAGTCTCACAAGAATCACCAATGTTAAGCCGTAACTTATCGCCTGCCGCTTTTCTGATTGAAATTGGTGGATGCTCACTCTAGCACCAATAATAAGCCAGGGTGCGCTTGAGTTAGTAGACCCACGCATGCACAATCCCCACAAATTTTCATGCACACCACACTGGTTTCATGTTATTTGCATCTTCTACACTGCGGTTTTTCACTTTACGCAGCAGTCTTTTGCGAAGTACTACTAGGTTTTTAACTGCCTGATTCACTGCTTTTTATCTGTGGTTCTCTCTGTTTTTAACCAGAGTTATTTATAAGCTATCAGGATTACTTCATGCAGGTTCCTTCTCTAACCCTTTGCCCGTATGTGCGCATATTCCGAGCCCCAATTTGTGATTGGATAACTGTTTCGCGTGTCTGATTGGTTCTTTGTAAATTGGCCTCGGCTGTCCGTATACGGTCAACATCATTTCACTCTGATGACTGCAAATTACCCCATATAGATAAGCGACACCCTCCTCATTTAATACTCCACTGTGCTATTCATCTGCTTCGCAGTTGACTCAAATCGTCTGGTCTACAGCCTCGACTCGGCACATGAAGCCAGTTTCACCGTCGAGCCGCATACGGGGCTGTTGAAGGTCAGCCGAACATTGGATCGTGAGACTCAGAGTGTGCATACCTTGACCGTCTTCGTAACAGACGGTTCATCTTCGTCTTCAATTTACTCCAAGAGTGCCAACCAATTCACGGCAACAACGACATTCACTATTCGTTTGCTGGATGTTAATGACTCACCACCGCAGTTCGTAAATACCTCAGCGCATAAAATACACGTTTCCGAACTGGAGCCCGCTGGACGTCACTTGACTCGCTTGAAGGCGGTTAGTTTGGACGAGGGTACCAATGCAGTGGTTCGTTACAGGCTGCTGACCAAACAACCGGAATTCTCCTTGAACGAGACAACGGGTAAGTCGAAGATTTGCCGCTTGGTCTTTGAAAACTTAATTGCCCAATTGTTTGACAGTACGTTTCCTCCCCTGAGCATTCTCTGTATTAGTTGTCAGTGTCTTCAGCTAAATAAAACAATAAGTTCTTTTTTAAGGAAACTACTCGTAGGTTTGTTGCCGAAAAGTTTTCAGCAACCTGGTTAATTCCCTTCAAAAAATATACCACCACATCTCGAATATCGTACCAACTGAAACATGACGCTGCAGCTCATTCAGTTGATCATTATCATAAACGGGAAATTTCACTGGGATTCAGTGGAGTCTCTCGTTAAAACCAAATTGGTGTGCAAATAAGTGTTATTCACATTCCTTTTCATCAGCAAGCCTCGGTATCAACCGATGTCGCGAACCCTCCGCATTGGCATCACCATTTCAGTGTTCTTTTATTTTCGATTCTGTTTTCTCGTCGTCATGTCTAATTACCCGTCTAATTACAAGATTCTCTTTCGCTCAAGCTGAAGTAATCAAATTCGTTCCTTGTTGCACACTATGGAAGTAATTTGGGTGAAATATGTAATGATTTAGCCAAAATGCCTCTTCTTTTTTATTGCGCCATTAATGGCTGAGCGATCTTTAAGATTGGTTCTACGGGTACAACTTCTACACAGCAGGTGCGCGTTTGGTTGGCGACTGTGATCCCTGTTCGATCGCTGCTCCTTCTTACCATTGTTTTCATCTTGAACATGTGCTTAAGAACTAGAAACTTAAATATGGGGCTTTCGTATTCTGTCCAGACTGGGTACAGTCCACTTTCGTTTTTTATCATTCCTGTTGTAGTACTGAGTGTTAGACCATCTCCCCTAAGTTTATATTTTTACCAAACCCAAACTTCAGCCTTTCATGGCTTCATCCAATTTGCTCGATAGATTTCTGGACAGGTTTTTTTCCAACTCTTGACTTCGACGTCAGTGATAACTTTTCAGTCATAGCTTATCCCTATAACGTCAGGCTCATCTTTTCTTCTGGCCATATCCGTGTGTCAACCAAAAATGGGATCCAACACAGATAACTACGTACCAGCTTTTCTGATCAATATCGTCCCGTACTCTATACGTCTATTGCTTCTTCCAACTTGTTCGTTGTTTTCGACCTTCAGATTTTCCGCGCTATTATTCTGTTGCCCCCCCCCCTTCACACTCGTCTATAGACGTCATGTCGCCTCAACAAGTGCTACGTTGCTGATAATGATCATAGTAGCCGACTAATAATAATAGTAATATACATGGCCCCACTTATATCCCTAGTTTAGCCCACATCTTTCAAGCGGAACATTTTTTATCCAGTTCCTAATGTGTGACCGAATTTCACCCTAATAGACGTTATTATTGAGGGGTCACTTTGGGGACGGAAGGAACATGCTTACAAAATATGGCGATATGTCGGGAAAGAAAGAAATTGAGATTGAAAGCAATCTCTTCGTCATATTTCCTCATCCATTTGACTATTGGACCAACGAGTTGCGTGAGGTTGTGTAAAATATCATGAAAACGTCCGAACGTCGGAAGACTATTTTTGTGCAATTCAACCCTCAAACGACCAGGAGGGATCGCCTTGTTGCTTCCTATTGCAGGTCCTGAAAATAAAGATGGTAATTCCCCTCAATTGCTGTATTCTGTTCTGATCCCTCCGGTTTGTCTTTGAGTACCAGCTCAATGCTCTGGTGCCCTAGCTTAGTGTGTCCATTTCGGCTCCGTAGAGAGGTAGTCTTATATAATTATAAGTACAATCGGCCAATTCCCGGGAACCATGAATTGTCAACAGCCGAAAAATTTCGGATTTGGTTAAAAATATCCATAAGCACTTTACTTTTATAGCTTATACCCAGAATATGTTCCCTTAGCAATTTAGTCTAAATCCAAACTCAGCCTATTAGAAAGAAAAGTAAACTCTTGGACGTATATATTGTCCGTATACATTATACCCACAATATGATGGAGGGAGAATGTGTTATGGTCTCCATTTAACTTGTTGCAGGATTAGTAGGTTGTTTCATTTTCTCAATAATCCACTGTTAAGAAGCATGAAACGTTGCCGTAATGAGGTCTGTAAAAGATCGTGTTTAGGTTCCAATGAAAACAATTGAAGCCACTGCTTCTGAACTGTCTAGTCGCAGGCTCCAATATATATATATAT